GTACATCTTGTTGCATTTGAAGGGTGTTTTAAATGCAGTAATCTCCTTACGCTCCGAACTTAGTGGAACCTGCCAATATCCCTTGCAGAGGTAAAGTGTGGTGAGATACTTTGCTCTTCCAAAACTCTCCACTACCTCATCCACTCTTGGCATGGGATTTAGTTCAAATCCAGACATATTCTTAGACTGCCATCCTTCTTAGGCACTAGGACAATGGAATTGCTCCATTCACTGGTTGAAGGTTCAATCACACCAAGGCTCTGCATGGTCTCCAATTCTTCCTTCATAACTGGCAGAATTCTTTCTGGGACACCGGAAACAGGCTGACGAATGGGTTTGGGATCTTTGAGAGTGATGTGATGGTGGATAACACTTGTTCTGTCTCCATAAAGAGTTGGGCTGGGATGCTTTGCAGAAGTTCCTGCCTTTGACCATCTTCAAGGTGTTCGAGGCTCACCTGACTGTTCTGCCCTACAAAGGCAAAAGACCTTAACTCGCTAGAGTGTGGAACTGAGAAAAATGACTTTAAAGATTTTTAGTTGTCCCGCCAAATTAATTATAGGTAGGACACTGAAAATCGGGCAATTAGATGTTTAAGTTATGAAAATTATCTACATAACAAAATTTTGAGCTCAAACTTGACTTTTGACCACTATTTTAAAGTTACTGTACTCTGTCTTTGTATTGTCAGCAAAAAGTATGAAGTCATGCCAAGGCAAAAGGCAGTAACTTCCACATTATCAATATTTGGTTGCTGATCACCATTAACAAAATCATTAGTAACACCTGTATAAAATCTAGTGATCATGGCATTTATTTTGTACGATTTACAATTACCTAGCCTTCTAGTTATTGTGCTTTGGTTCCATTCTGGTGGCTCTATTAATACATTAGACATGACAAAATACCTCCATATCGGTAAAGACTAAAGAGTATCTTCAAGTGGTAGCCTACCGAGTGGCATAAGACTTGCTAAACACGCGTTATAATGTAACGTAATGATCACGATAAAACAGATCCTCCCGCACATTCGACCCGGAGGCGGTGGATCTGAAAGACGCATAGCCTACTTTCACAGGCATTTTTTTTACCGAGATTCGTGTTCGAAGGTGTCACGATCCGTTCACGAAAAGTAGCCAATGCAGTGCTTTACCCCTTAGGACTCAGTAGGGAGCGCGTTCTGGACTACTTAGACGACTAATGCATTTATAGCACAACCTTCTGTGTTCTGCGTCTTTTCAGTATGCGTTGGTTTCAGCTGTCTGCCCTATTATAGTGCGTGCACTTCGCTCGTCCCGCGGATTTATTCCGGACGCTGTGTTTTGTATGCATGCTTTTAACAGCTGTTCTGATGTTGTATGCACCAGCACTTCTTGCTTCATTATGCTGTATGCGCCAATATTATTATCACTCTGTGATATAGCGTCGGCTAGACCGTGTTCAGGGCGGAGCTGAAGGCGCCGGCGAAGTTTTGGCACTCTGCCAGCTAGATGCATGATGGTTTCAACTAGGTCCGGGACCGGTACCCGAACTGGGTGAGGCGGGGCTTTAGTTCTTTGTTGTATTGACCTTCTTCGGCATGTGTAACATTTTTCTGTCAACGCATATATCCGTCGCGATCGATATCGCACGTTTGTCGATGGAGCGGGTTAAGAGCATACTAAATGTTCTGACCGCATTAGTGCAGGACAAAGCTCTGAGGACATAAGAAGTTACAGGGACGGATGGTAGCTGTACAAAGTACACAGGCTACATCGTAATTTCAATTTTAATGGAGAGTAAAACAAAGGCAGAACACCGAATAATCTGATAGGTAGCATTATTTGATAGAACGCCAGCACAGTAACTTCATATTGACGCGCGGCTAAACATAGGCAGAGTGCCGTAACTTAATATGAGCGTTCCAAAACTAAGCCAAAGAGCCGTAACTGGTGTTACGGTGTTCTGCCTTGGTTTCTCATTGGCTTTTGGAAGTTACGGTTAAGACAAACCATTATTTTCTCGAAAAAAAAAACAACGGAATTGACTCAAGATACTTATCCACATGATAAAGGAGGTCTTGAATGTGCCAAAAATATCAATAACTCATTTTCGACCAAAAACGAAGTTACAGTCTTTTACCTTTGCACGGCAGTGTTACCCTGATCACCAGGCAGGTATTGTTCCTCCATTTTCCTCCTCTCCCTCCACAGATCTTACGAACAAAGCTGTTGCTGTTCCCGTTACTTACTCAGATGTAGGTTCTGGTTGTGTGGAACGAGCATACCACTTCTTCAACATGTTGACATGGAAGATTTCCAAGGGATGGGTCCTGGATGGGATCTCTATCTCATATGTCACAGGACCCACTTTCCGCTTTATTTGGTCGGGACCCTTCCACTTAGCCAGCAGTTTATCCTCACTCGTTGGTACCAACAACAAGACCTTCTCATCTGGCTCAAATGTATGGGATCTGGCTGTTCGTTTTTGAGACTGGAGGAGATTTTCTCGTGCAAGGGCTGTTGTCTTCTGTAGATACTCTCTCATCTTTAGCACATAGGAGAGAATGTTTTTCTTTTCTGGCTTATCAGTGTCCTCCCAACTCTCCCTCAGTACATCCAGAGGCCCTTTGACATGGTGAGCATACAGGAGTTCAAATGGCGAGAACCCTGTAGATGCCTGAGGCACCTCCCAATATGCAAACAGGAGGAATGGAAGCCACTTGTCCTAGTCCTTGTCCGTTCCTCAGCATAGTTTTCAAGGTCTGGTTGAAACGTTCAACCAGACCATCCGTCTGAGGATGGTAAGGGGTGGTTCATACTCTCTTTATGCCCAGCAATTGATATACTTTTGTAGGGTGTGGCTCATGAAGTTTGGGCCATGATCTGTGAGCACTTCCTGAGGTATGCCAACCTGCGAGAAAAATTGTAGGAGTACATTTGCTTAGCTGTGACCTCTCGTAATGGGTATGCCTCCGGGTACCTGGTACTTCCTGCTTCCAGCTTCCTGTCTTACCCTATCGTACCCTATTTTGTACGACAAAAGTCTCAACAAGCAAAGACACCACACTAGTGTTGCCTTTCGTCAACGAAAATTATGACTAAATATCGTTGTCAACGAACCTTTATCGTGTGACGCAACATAAATGCTGGTCATGTGACGATGACTATAATTAAATGTATAATGCAATATTGTTGACGAATAAAAACGAGACTAAATGTGGTTTACAAAATAAAAACTATGCTAAAATGTCTCTTCATTTTCGTTGATCAAAACGAGACGAGACAAAATGTTATTTAACGTTATTTCGTCTCGTTTACTTGCATTATTATTATTATGCAGCATTTTTGTCGCCTGTGTCAGATCGCACTGCGCAGACGCAGGCGACTTCACATCCTCAAGCCCCACTCGCAGCATTATTTAGAAGATGCAGCTGCGTGAGTTACGGCTGTTTCACACATACTCCGTGTGTAGTGCGTATGCGGTGCGTGTTGCGGTGTGTATGCAGGAGCAGCACGCTCTATTGTGCTTTCACATGTGCTGCGTTTGCAGTGTGCAACTGATCTACGGCTGTACCACAATCACAACATTTATTCTCTATTTTTTATTTCAAATCAATATTTTTAGCCTACATCCATTATGTCGTATTGTTGAGGTACTGTGTAGATCTCTGCTCTGCTGTTATGCACGTCACGCACCGCTCCTGGAGCGCATTGCCGGACCGCATCCGCGTGGGTTAAATAGAATTGCATTACTAAAAAGAGACTAAAATACAATTTTCATGGACTAAAACTATAGACTATGTCTTTCGTCGACTAAAACTAGACTAAAATGTCATCAGTTTTCGTCGACTAAAACTAGACTAGACTAAAAAGAGTATGAACGTGACTAAAACTAATAAAAACTAAAATGACAGCTTGACACAAAGACTAAACTAAAACTAAAATTAAAACAGGCCGCCAAAAACAACACTACACCACACCCTCATTTTGGCATATGTACGAGCTGTACGTGCCGGCTTCACCCTAGTTCCCTTAGCTGCCTGCCTCTCCCTGGTCCCCTGAGCTGCCGGCTTCACCCTAGTCCCCTTAGCTGCCTGCCTCTCCCTGGTCCCCTGAGCTGCCGGCTTCACCCAAGTCCCCTTAGCTGCCTGCCTCTCCCTGGTCCCCTGAGCTGCCGGCCTCGCCCTGGTCCCCTGAGCTGCCTGCCTCTCCCTGGTCCCCTGAGCTGCCTGCCTCTCCCTGGTCCCCTGAGCTGCCGGCCTCTCCCTGGTCACCTTAGGTGCCGGCCTCGCACTGGTCCCTTTAGCTGCCGGCCTCACCCTGGCCCCCTTAGCTGCCGGCCTCACCCGGCCCCCTGAGCTGCCGGTTACGCTCAGGGCCCCCTGAACTGCCGGTCTACTGAACCACCAGCTCCACTTGTTGGATGTTGATACGTGAGGACTTGCCTTCCGGGCGTTTTTGGACTTCTTTCTGTTTGCATTTGAGCCATCCCGGCTCCGGTTTCCATGGTCACCGTCATCATTAGTTCAATTGTTTCAGCATTGTGTCGTTAATCATCTAATTAGTTCTCTTTGTTTGCCAACTGTATTTATTCCCTGTGTTCTCCCTCAGTCTTCGTCGGTTCTCGTTGATGTTTGGTTGTGTTTGTTCTCCAGAGTGTCTCCTGCGTTTTTCCTTATTCCAATGTGTTTGATGATTAAAGTCTTCCTTCCAAAGTTCTCCCTCGTTGTGTGTATCTCAGCACAAGCAACCGTAACAGTAAGTTGTAAACAGCCCTTTATTCTTGTTGATATGCTGATTGTTTAGCACATTTTATTGTTTTTTGATAACACTGATTAATTCAGAAATGAAACGCCACTACCATGTGTTAGGAAACAAGCAACTGTTAGTTCTACTTGGGTTCATTTTCGCATGTGGATTTTCATTTTGGAAGAACAAAAATAAACAAAGTACAATTATATTTTGTGTAAAAAGTAACATTCGTAACTACAGCACTGATGTTGCTTTATTATAACTCACCAACAGCCTGGTATGATGCATTAAATCCCATGTGTGATTTGGGGTTTGAATCATCAGTTAGAAAAAAGAGCTGGAGACGGTTAGCAGACACCATGATGGGCTTGTTACCAGGGTGAAACCTGTCTGTGGAATTCTGGCCACAAAACTTCCACAGAACCTTCTTATCAGACACAACCTGGATGCAAAATAATCACGTAAAATGGCATCAAACTGTATCTTACTGCTGTTCAAATGATTGTTGTGAAATGAGCCTAAAGTTAAAACAAATCTTTACTGTGATTAGATTTTACATTATTTTGAAGTGAAGAGTTACTTTGAGAGAATCATGGCAACAGTTTGGAGAGGGCTCAATGTCCAGGTGATTGAATGTTAGCTGGATCTGGTATCCCTGCTGCACCTCCAGGTCCCACTGTTCCAAGATATTTGCTGGATACGGCTGAGGGTACTGTGGAGAAGACACCTTCCCAAACATGGCAGGCTCACATTGACACACATTCACACATGCCCACAGCAGGCTAGATCGGTAGGACAGGGATATAGACAGAGATTCAAGGTTAATCTTTAAATAATTCTATAAACTTGTTCTGAGATGGTTTAAAACATTACTCTCCATTGATGATTAAAATAATAATGTGGATGAACATAGATTTAGATGACACATGAAATTAAAGAACTTACCCAATTATTAGAACTTTTTCAACCATGACAGACATGCAGATGTCAATAGCACCTTCACTAAAATTATAAAGCAGTTTTTTTTATATTCGTAGTTTTTATGTGGCTACAATTGCAATCCCTCTCTAGTGAAAGAGCACGGGTCTAACAGTCATGATAAAAGAAACCTTTGTTTGATTTGGCAGTGCTACAAAAACAATGACAGCAAAAAAAACAGAAGACAGAGAGAGATGCAAACCTTTCCCATGATTCACGCTGCTTTTTAGCCTGTTTACAAAATGGAGAAGGTTTAAAGTCTGATGACATGTTTTTATGCACCACTACTATGGTGTGGGCCTAATTTGTGGTTTGTTTTAAAGAATTGTTCACTTAAAAATTAAAAATCATTTACTCACCCTCAAGTTAGTTGTTTCAAACCTGTATGAATTTCTTTCTTCTGCTGAACACAAAAGATGATATTTTAAAGAATGTCAGTAACCAAACAGTTGATGGACCCCATTGACTTCCATTGTATTTTTTCTCTACATTCATTTTTAAGTGAACTATTCCTTTAAATTTGTATCCTCACATTAATTTTCTTTTGTAAATGGTCATTGGGAGGTTGATGATGATGATTAATTTGTCCTTGAGAGGAAATTTGTTTCCACCATAGATGCGTACATAATACAAACACACGTGTATAACATATTAAGAACATGAACATATAAACATCTACAACAAACAACACAGAAAAAAAAAGAAAGAAAAAAAATTCCAGCATCTGTTGAAATCATTTGTAGATTTTTTTTTTAAAACAAATGCTTGATCATATGGATTGAGTTTAATGAAATGTGTAAGCATTTCAATTAACATTAAATAATGATCTCCTAATCACTATGTAACTTTATATAAGTTCATTAGTAAACATTAACAAGCACATTATCTATTTTTTCTAGCTGTGAATATATAGGGTTAGTTCGCCCATTTCAGACATGAAGTTGTATGCAATCCTTACCAGCACTATAGTGCATACACACTGACCCACTCTGTTGTCACCTCCCTGGTCAGAGTTCTGGCCGCTGGAAGTTTTTCAATGAAGTACTCCTGGTTATTTTCCGGGGTCACAAAACTATGCGTTTTTACGTGAAAAAATGATTTGCGTTTCAAAGCTTGATTCATTTACCACACAAAAAACACGCCGGTCAAAATTCATACCTCAGTTTTAATCGGCATTATTTTCTATCCATTTCTATCAATCCGCGCTGCTGTCAACGTCAACAGTGCGCACGTTCCGATCAGCTGTTGATAGCGCGACTCGCTAACAACATTACTATGGCGTTATTATCCTGTCAAATGTCGAGAGCGCATTATTGTAGCACGTTAGAACGTTCAATTCTCCCTTTGTATAAACGTTGTATGTATTAACGTTCTTGCTTGGTTATAAGAACGTTATTCAAACGTTCAATTCTCCCATTATATAAACGTTCTCTTAATGTTTTTCTAAGATAATGAAAAACGTTTCATTCAATAAAAAAACATTAAGAAATGTTTTAATAATTATTAAAACCTGTCTTAATGTTTTTTATATAACAAGGTAGCCTATATAATAGGCCTAGCCTATATGAAGAACCTAAAACAAGAACTTTCAGATTTTAAAATTAAGACAAAAATTTAAAAAAAAAAAAAAGACCCATGAATCATGTCTATAATATGTGTAATGTAGTCCACTGAAGTCGAGTTGAATTGAACCCAAGTAGGCCTATAGTTTATTCCAATAAACCAATTTGGGTTGAAGTGACCATATGAAATTAACATGAACATAAACTTGGAAATTGTTGTAAAAATGAGCTATATAAATTAAATGAACTTTAACTTGTGAATGTCATTGGTTGTTTTTGGTCATAATCCTTGTCCTTGTGTTCCCATTGTCTCTTGTCTAGCTTTGTTCCCTGTACCATTGTTGGTGATTCTATGTTTAGTCCAAGTTTATGTTCATGTTAATTTCATATTGTCACTTCAACCCAAATCGGTTTATTGGAATAAACTATACTTGGGTTCAATTCAACTCGACTTCAGTGGACTACATTACACATATTATAGACATTATTCATGGGTCTTTTTTAAAAATTTTGTCTTAATTTTAAAATCTGAAAGTTCTTGTTTTAGGTTCTTCATATAGGCTAGGCCTATTATATAGGCTACCTTGTTATATAAAAAAACATTAAGAAAGGTTTTAATAATTATTAAAACATTGCTTAATGTTTTTTATTGAATGAAACGTTTTTCATTATCTTAGAAAAACATTAAGAGAACGTTTATATAATGGGAGAATGGAACGTTTTAATAACGTTCTTATAACCAAGCAAGAACGTTAATACAACGTTTATATAAAGGGAGAATTGAACGTTCTAACGTTATTATAACCAGGAAATAACATTAATACAACGTTTACATAACGGGAGAATTGAACGTTCTTATAACCAAGAAATAACGTTAATACAACGTCTAAAAAACTGGACTTTTTGAAATTCCCTAGAACATTCAGAAATAAAGTTTTTATAACTTAATGGGCACGTTATGAAAACGTTCTTATAACCTAAAATTGTTAGCTGGGGAAGAGGAGCGATTCGCGATTGCACTGAACACGTTTTTAAGTGCAGGCATATTCTCTGACTGAGCGAGGCAGTGAGCTCACTCAGCCCAGAGAGAGAATTCTTACAAGAGAAGTGTATCTGAGAGCACGCGCCCAGTCCTCGCGCGCGAGCAGAGAGATTCGCGCTCGGCATATCATATTCCGCGCGAGCAGAGAGATTCACGCTCGGCACATCATATTCCGCGCGCGAGCAGAGAGATTCACGCTCCCGCATAATATTAATGTACTTTCGCGCTACAATAATGCGCTCTCGACATTTGACAGGATAATAACGCCATGCATGTCTGACTGCGAAACTTCTGATGATGAAACCAATTTTAGCACAATGTCAGACGGATCAGATGATGAAAGTAATTTTAGCACAACGACAATGTTATTGATTGCAACACCAAACCTCAATTGTGTGTGTGTGTTCAATCAAATAGTTTTCTCAGCAAATTGTACCAATATCCCTATATACTGTTTTTATATTAGACATCTTTTCACGTGTTTTATAATGGAGTCTAAACATCAGCTTGTTTACCGTACAGTTTAGACATGGGATCATAAAGTTAGTAAATAGAGATTACCCGTGGTACTGGTACAGCAAAACCCTTTAATTTTCCTTTTCCTCCTTGGTTGTAATCGTCTTCGCTGAAGTGAGCACTACACACACGAAAATCCTTTATTCTGGATATTTTAGCTCCCGCAGAGTAGCCGATGGCAACCAGCCAAAGCTGTCTCATAGTTATATTCGAAACAGGAAAACGATGGAATCTGAACTTATTTGATCCCGGCACATCGTTGTGGTCACAGCCTGGGAATTTACAAGCTCGCACCATTGTTAATTTAATACTTTTTACGTCGTTGTCAGTAGTATTAACATAAGCCATGTGTCACTTTTTGACTGATTTATGACCCTATGTTGGTACAGAGTTGTGTGCCTGTCAACTGTCGTAGTGTTCTTGTATCAAGAAAACAGTGTTTCTGATTTACGGTGGTAGCTGACAGGCTCCTGTATGTCTAGGAAGTTTGGAGCCGTGTGACATCCTCCTTTGGTGAGATCCGGGAAACTTTTAAAAGACAAAAAAAAACCTTTTGTTTGATTTTATGACCATCTTTTGGTAGATTTAGGCACCCCTTGTCACTCATGATTGACAGAGACTCCATGTGTCAACAAAAATCTGGGCTCCTTCCAGTCAGCTGGGGGGAAACTGTTGCTGATTGTATTTTCCTTTGATTGTTGGGGGGGAAATTCACCCAAGCAGGTATCACGTAATGGTGGCACCCTGAGTGTTGAAAACCTTTGTTGTAGGGTAGCCTATATGTTAATTGAGTCAAAACATTTGAGTCAAGGCATTCAGGAATACCATTAGCCCTATGTGTGTGTGTGTGTGTGTGTGTGTGTGTGTGTGTGTGTGTGTGTGTGTGTGTGTGTGTGTGTGTGTGTGTGTGTGTGTGTGTGTGTGTTGCAAAACAACAACAGATTTACATATTTTACTTCAAACTAAGAGATTTTAAATGTTCAGACATTTATACATTTGTTTGCCACAAAAAGCAAGGAAAGTTGTCTATTTTCTTTAAATAAAACTTTTACTTTATTGTATTCTTTAAAACAGACTGATAACCAGCAACTGGTATTAGAACTGTAGCCGAGCAGTTTACTCACACGAGTAAAACACAATTTTCGCTAGAAAATGTATGACTGAACCTTTTTCTTTTGACAAACCTACATTTCAAATTATACCTGAGGTGTGTAACAACCACACATTGATTCCTAAGATCCGGGGCACAGTGCAAACAAGCAAAAGTCAAGAAATCAAATCTTAGTGTAATCTCTGTGAGGTCAGAAAACAAAACTTTATGTTGAGTGATCCAGATAAATCTTTATGCTACAAAACATCATAGAAGTCACTAGCACTTTAAACATCCAGCACAAAATTAAAGAGATGAGCTCTATTACACATCCTCCAAAAATGTGTGTGTGTGTGTGTGTGTAAATAGTACTGCTAAACACTTTGTGTGTATTTTTACACGCTAACAATGTGTGTGTGTGTAAATAGTACTGCTAAACTCTTTGTGCGTATTTTTACACGCTAACATATTTTGACAGGGGGTATTTCACACCGCAGTGATACATAGTTTTCACACTCTTGAATAACTTTCAAACATAATCTTTATATAGTTACTGTATGTGTGTCCAAAAAACATCTGTAAGATTCAAAAGACCAAATCAGTAAGAAAAGAGGGCACAGCATACATTGAAAAGCAAGATTTATAATAAATACACAAAATCCATTTGTGAACAAATGTGAAAGTTGGTACATTTTGTTTTGTAAGTAGTGTTTTTATCACTCCACTAGTGTTATTCGTCTTATTCAGATATTTTGTTAAAATATTTTGTTTGTTGGACTCTTC